CGCTGTTTCAGTAATTTAGATGGGGACTTTTTGAGCACTCTGTATACCCTGAAGGTTCATCACTTTCAGTGCTGAAGCCTACATCTTGAGACGACCTTGAAGCCGCTCCGTCCATCTTGCACCTCGAAACCTGATTCTCTAACATGAACTTTCATCTTAATGTTATCTTTGTAACTGCGCATTCTCCTGAGTGTTCTCTTTCCAAGCGATTTTCCAACCAAACTTTTGTATACATTTGTTGTTTCCACCCTAGTTAATGTCACGCTTGTCGCAACATTTTGGATTTTGCTGTTCTGCCAAAAGTTGATGCATGTAGAATGTGAGGTTCTCACAGCGGTGGTTATGAACTCTTGTGTCTTACTGGGATGTAAAGCCGTGTAGTCATCTGAAAGTCGATCGGTGTTTAGGAGCAACATACCGCCTCCGTCTTCAGGTCCGAAGAATAAGGCAAAGAAGAAACCAGCATGAAACATGTAATAAACACAGCTTGCGTTTTCTTCGACCCTGAAGCCAGAAGCGCAATGTTCCGCCGATATATCCGGTGACTTGTAACGAGTTATACGGCGTTATGTCCTAGAAACCCTTCACTAGATTAACCGTGTGAATTTCCTAGTTACTGTTATATAATATCCTGATTTTTCCCTCTTATTTAAGTCCGTGTGGCCTCTGAAACGTCCGAACTTCTGCAGCCCAATCCTACACTCCTAGAATAATCTGGTTACTATCACCGTAAACCTAACAGCAAATATATATAGATACAGTTATATTTCGGCCGAGATTAACGGCCGTGGGGATTCGTTGCACTGACCACGCGACACTATCCGCTAAAGTTGGCACTAACTTCGCCGACAAGCGGCGGTCTCTCTGTCGGTATAGTTCTCTTGCTGACTACAGACCACGGAATAAGTAACACTCATAATTTTCCAGTTACGGCCCCTTTAATTTAACTTAACACTTCGAAATTTCGGACTTAGGAGCCGAAATCCAGCGTCGGTTGGCGCCTAGCAGCTGCTGACGTTGCGTTTCTTGTGCTTGTCTAATGATTTCTTAAAAATATGGCAAAATCTTGAATAATTATCTTCTTGAGGAGATGTCTAATGCCGTTCCCAAAAGCTGGGTGCGTAGTTTGACGGGAACTGGAACATTCGTGGGAAAATGTCGGCCATATTGTTCTGTTTTCCGCCCAGTAATAGCTCAATCACTTTTGTTTCCCTAAAGATACTAGGGTCGGCACAGCAGGGCTCTGTAGGGTCTGATAACTCAAAGCCAAAGCCGATAAAAAGCAGTTGGACCTCGAAATTAAAGTAAAGTCATTAACACGTGAGGTTCACTGCAGACATGGCGGTCCACGCTTCGTTTGCAAATTCAGTTAAGTTTAATTAGTTTTTCTTTCTTTCCCAGGCTCTGAAACGTCTGATCCTGAACTGTCGGTACGGAACTATCCTCCGTAGCTGCGTCACATCCTGGACATGCGCACAAACATCCCGTACTCCGATATCTCGAGTAATCTTTCACCTCACGTCCCCTCACGCCCGCCGCTATAGCAACCCCTTGAAATTCGTTTCAACTGAAGATTGTCCCGGTTATCAACATCAGCGTCGTTTCGGGCACTATGCTACAAGCCTGAAGGTTGCGGATTCGATTCCCGATGAGGTCATTAGATTCTTCAGTTGACCTAATCCTTCCAGCCGCATTATGGCCCTGGAGTCGACTCAGCGTCTAACAGAAATGAGTTCCAGGAATCTTCCGGGATGTAAAGGGCTTCCGGCGTATAAGGCTGATGAACTCACCACCGTCTGTGAGCCAATTATCTAGAAAATGTGGGAGCCTCACGTCTCACAACCCCATGAACCTTCACGACGTGTTACAGGGATACCTTTATCTGTTTTAATCAGCATCTCGGCCCTGGGTTCAGAGCATAACGTCCGTCGAGACAATTTGCTTACCAAAACGAACTTCGTTAGAAATACCTAGCCTCAGTGAAGTAGCCTGCAATCCGAGTTGGCTCCGAATGTTTCGGATGAGTGTGGTGAGCTCTAGTAGACCCAACAGAGTAGATGTCTCGCAACACCTCACCTGAGGACGGAAACAGATACTGCTGCCGAAACGCTGTGTTCTTTAGAATATCAGACGATGAGTAAAGCCAAAGAACCCAGTAATCCCTCGCCTGCAATCCACTTTAATGGAAATGTGTACGTACTTGTATTTGTGGAAGAGAGATAATTTAAAATTGTGTAACTTTTATGTTAAGAAATGAAAAAAAAAATGGAAACGGTGTACATATAACTCTCAAGTCTGTGAAGCTGTCAATCATAGAATTTCAGCAAAATCTGTGCAGCAGTTTATGGGATGTATGGGGAAGTCCATTGTGTAAACCAGGCTATATTATGGACGTGGGGAAATTGGAACTGCGCAGTAACTTTTAATGGAAACCTGTCGCGTCGGAGTTACAGAAAATCTGTGGAAAGATTTATGGAAAAGGCTGCTTATGTCATCATGCAAATCGAAGTTGTCCGACAACTCCTGACAGATGTCCCGGACGTCGATAGTTAAGAAAAATCTCTCCAGCAGTTTGAGCCGTAATATTAGGTCACAGACAGACTGGACATGACCACATCAGACGTTCACTTTACATTGTACAGAACGTCCAGCAATGTAATCACCTAGCAAAAAGACCTTGAGGGACATTCTGACGTCACGGTCAACGCTACGAAATGGGAAAAATTCTGATAAAACTGCTCCATTTATACTAAAAAGCTCCGTGGCTTTAGTCCGCAAGCGAACTATACCGACCGAGAGACCGCCGCTTGTCGGCGAAGTTTTTTTTTTATTATTGCTAGTGGGGTGGGACTAACTCCCTTGTACTGTGGCCACTTCTGGCCTATTGTACCAGCCCCAGATGATAGGTGAGGGTGATTGTGGAGCAATTGGTGCAATGAAGATTGGCAGGAGAAACTGAAGTACTCGGAGAAAACCTGCCCCGGTGCCACTTTGTCCGTCACAAATCCCACTTGACCAGACCCGGCATCGAACCCGGGCCGCTGCGGTGGGAAACCAGCGACTGACCGCTTGAGCTATGGCGCGGCCTTGCCGGCGAAGTTAGTGGCAAATACTAGGATTGTACTTATTATCCACACTTAATGGATAGATTGTATAATTATTGGAGTTAAATAAAAAAAAATACTAGGATAATAAAATGTGTACTAAACGGTGCTGCTATCTAGAGGCACGCTGCATTGCCGATTGCGCGTGCGCTGTACCCCCATTTATTGGTGCTACATGCTGCTATCGTAGCTACTTGAGGACGGAGTAGCAAGCTTGAGCCTGTGTTTGTGTGGATTTAGTAATATTCTTTTTTTCCTTAAGCTGCCAGCCCTGATGTGCAGAGCAACGAGTGTTGAGTGTACAAACACTAGGAGCGAGTGTCGCGTGTACCTAGACTCTGGAGTCTTCACAGCAATATTTATATAGCGGGTTTCTGGGACATGACGCCGTGTAGACTGAAAATTTTGTTCTTAAAAGACATGCCGTCTCCAACTTCAGGGTAAAAGATTCAGCAGGTTCACCTGAAATTTTGGTAACGATTTACCAGACTATACTGCGTCACGTCCTAGAAGATAATGACCGTTAGAACCTCGTATCTCACACTTACAAAGAAAGAAAAATATTTCTAGAATGCTTGTGAGGAGACAGCTTCTTTCACATTTAGTAATACGACGTTGTGGAATGCGCACCCGTTGCTACGTAACGATCGTGAAACAAGGAAATATACAACAGCCGTTGCTAGGTAGCGGCTCCGCCAACAGACACGAATGCAACAATTCCACGGCAAGAAGAGGTTACAGTAGTAATGGGAAGAAGTGTTTTCTGCGCAGTTCGTCCCGAAATGTTATAAGCAGTAGCTAGAGTTAGTGAGTTGTTGGTTGGTGAGTTAGTGAGTGAGTTACAGGACTGCTGCGGTTCAGTCGTTTTGTGACCTGTTGCTGTTAGAAGCTTGTAGCTAAAGCTGGGGAAAGTTCGGGAATCCAGATAATGGAAGCCGCTACCAAGCAACGGCTAGTAGAGACCGTAACAGACTGAGATCACCGGTCTGTGTGTGACAGCGATTTATATAGTGTAGTCACGAGTTTTGTGTTAAAGAGTTCAGTAAATCCAATTACCAATCCAAACTCTGTCTACAGTCACTCCATTACGTGACAGTATTTTTGAGGGGGTTCCGTCATTTCGGATGAATTGCTTCGTGTACAGTTTCACTTGAGCATAGAGCAGTGAAGTACAAATGTGAAGTGAAATATTGATGTTGATAGCATCAAAGCGCGATGCCCCCCCACAAGGCTGTGCGTTACGTGGCCAGCGAGCCCATGCCGCTTCTCCAGCTGCGGTCTCAACGGTAGGGACGCCTCAGTTTTCATGAACAATTTCCCAGTTTTGCACGTCTGGTTTTGTTTCGTCGTAACAGCTTCAATGTGAGAAGCAGCTCAGTGCAGCAAAACGCAGCAAGTGTCAGTATTGAGGCTATAGCGTCGCTGTACATGGCACACGTTGAAAACAAGTTCAGGCTGAACGAAACCACGCTGGAAGGGTGTCTAGACAAACGGTACTGGAGGTTGTCGGGACGCTTGGGTCGAGATTATGGTCTTCTGGGAATGAGTTTTTGTAGTCTGGAATACGGGTACCAGCGTTTCAGAGGCACTTTCTACTTCCTTCTTCAGGAAAAAGACAGTAGCAGTGTCCAGACCGACTCTGGGACCCACCCAGCTTCCTTTACAATGGGTATCGGGGGCTCTTTCCCGAAAAAGAACTTTGTTTTTTCTTAATTTCCCAAAGGACTTTGGAGCCCTTCCGGAAGGAAGTTGTGTAAGGAGCCGGCGTCCGAAACTGAACAATCAAGAAGAAACGTCACACCGAATTTGTGCGCACTCTGCAGTCTCCAAAGCTTTTCTTGCATCGGATACTATGAGTAAAACGACTTTATAACGGGTGTTCTCATTTTGTTGCAGTGGTGGTGACCTCGGCGCCGGGGAACGAGGCGGAGCTGCAGCTGTACCGCGTCATGCAGCGCGCCAGTCTGCTCGCTTACTACGACACGCTGCTCGAAATGGGTGAGTTCGAGCTCACGCTGTAGGCATGATCACTGTGTTCGTTGCGATGACGTGCTTCACCGATTAGAGAGACATCTCACGGTTTTATGTGACTATGGCAACTTAGCAGTGATTTCCAATTAAATCAAGAACACCGAAATGCTCTGGACACGTGACAAGTAAAGGGTAAAAGAAACACAAAATTTTTGCAGGATAGCGTGAGGGAAAGATCTACACGTGGATGGACAGACAAAAAAAAAATGAGGGTCAGGAATTATGAATTGGATTCATCTGACTCAGGATAGGTACCAGTGCTAAGCTTTTGTGAGCAAGGGAGTGAAACTCTGGGATCCACACAAAATCTCGAATGGTTGAGACAAAACTCTGAAGAAGGAATCTGCTCGCGTGCAGTTCAGTGGGCTGGCTGTTTACTTGATATCCTATAACAGGCTCCAGAATACTCGAGATGGTCATCTTGAAGTGTCAAGGGGACGATGGGGGCGACGTCGGCAGGAGAGGTCGCCCAGACAGGTACACTGCTTCGGTGTTCGCACTGCGCGCAAATTATTGGTAGAAAAACTTAAAAGAAAGATACCACTAGAAAGGGGATATTAAAATTGATCTTAAAGGAATAAGATGAAAGGGTGTTAGTTGGATCCAGCTGGCTCAGGACTGGGACCAATGGAGGGCTCTTGTGAACATAGATATGTGAGAATTCCTTGAGTGGCAGAGCAAATAATGGTTGGTTAGTTAGTTAGTTAGTTAGTTACAGAGCAGGGCCGTGCCATAGCTCGAGCGTTTAGTCGCTGGCTTCCCATCGCTGCGGCCCGGGTTCGATCCCGGGTATGGTCAAGTTGGATTTGTGGTGGACAAAGTGGCGCTGGGGCAGGTTTTCTCCGAGTACTTCGGTTTCCCCTGCCAATCTTCATTCCACCAATTGCTCCACAATTACCCTCACCAGTCATCGGGGCTGGTACAATAGGCCAGAAGTGGCCGCAGTACAAGGGACTTAGTCCCACCCCACTAGCAATAAAAAAAATAATAGTTACACAGCAAGAAGGGTGGCGGTTTTCGCTAGCTTTATTATGCTTCGCCCCTCTTGGATCAAGCACTTGTACCGCCACTGATCATTGGCTCTCCTCAGTGTCTCTAGATATAATTAATGTCTTCTTCTGCTTACCATGGGGCAAAAATGAAAATTGTTCCCTGCAACCATCCCTTGAGGACACTTGTCAGTTGTATCAGCATTGCAACATGGCCACAAGCAGCGTGTGCAGCTGGTTGCAGCCACATCCCAGAAGACGGCATTCTTCATAGTCACCGCCGTGAAAACCTCAAACCTTACATGTCTCTCTGTGTTCTCAGAGTTCTAATAAATTTTCATTTCTTGAAACAAATGTTATGCCATGGGTCATTGTTTCAGCGCCATTTTTTTAATTCAACCGTCATGAATATTAAATTGGCGTCGAGTTTAGTTTTGAATATCAGCACCATAAAATTTGTTATAATTTGAACTACGTAATAAAGTAAAAGTAAAGGTATCCCTGTAACAGGCCGTGGAGACCCAAAAGGTTGTGAGCCATCGAGGCTGCCACATTTTCTAGACAATCGGCTCACAGATAGAGGTGAGGTCAGCCTTACGCGCCAGCCGCCCTTTACCCCCAGGGCTGTAGTGCGGCTGGAAGAATTAGGTAAATTGAAAAAATCCAATGGCGTCATCGGGATTCGATTCCGCGACCTTCCGGCTTGTAGCACGAATGCGGGAGAAGAAGGATGCATATAGAATATCGGTGGAAAAGTCAGAAGGAAAGGAAGCACTAGAAAGATAAAGTCGTAGGTGGGTGGATAATATTAAAATAGATCGTACAGAGACAGAATGGAGTGGTATTGACTGGATCGATCTAGCTCAGGATAGGGACCAGTGGAGGGCTCTTGTGAACACGGTAATGAGCCTTAGGGTTCCATAAAATGCTGGGAATTTCTTGAGTAGCTGCAAAATTGGCGGCTCCTCAAGAAGGGCTCAGCTCCGTGAAGTTGAAGCCTATAACGAGAGGAATATGATGACGTATGTTGTTGTTAATGGTTCTGCATTTCTATAATTTTGTACCCTGAAAACGGAGGCAAAGCTTCTCTCGGAAACTTCGGTAAAGATGCATTATCCTACGCGGCGTCACATCCTAGTAACTTCCATAGGCACCTCAAATCCTTGCGCAGAACTTGTTTGCTTGGAGACCCGTGAACTGATAACGGCACGAGTGCTGGAGACGCTTGCATCTGCATTCCCGTCTCTGACCTGGATCAGGCGGAGACAGGACTGCTGTCAGATCAGTGGCGGGCGTCAGGCGTCGGTGGGGCTCACGCGGCCCCATCTGGACCTCAGCACACGTGCACTCGTTAAGTTCATCGGCTATGCGAACCAGGATATGCATAGGAAAAATTACGGAATAAAAATTCGATGTGTGTGTGGACCGTCTCGGTGGTCTAGTGGTCAGAGTTCCTGACTACAGATCCAGAGGTCACGTGTTCGATTCCCGGTGCTACCAGATTCTCTGAGAAGTAGTGGGTCTGGAACGGGGTCCACTCAGCCTCGTGAGGATAATCGAGGAGCTATTTCTAGGAAATAGCGGCTCCTGTCTAGAAAATCGAGATTAACGGCCGTGGGGATCCGTTGCGCTGGCCACGTGACATTTTCTTTCCGCTAAAGTTGGCACTAACTTCGCCGACAAGCGGCGGTTGCTCGGTCGGTATAGTTCGCTTGCGGACTACAGGCCATGGAGTTTGTTTTGTCAATTTCCCACCGGCGTGTGGCTACCGTGAACGTGTTAGAAATGCAACCCAGTACTGGCACGACCTTCCAGTTTGTTATGCCATGTAGTTCGGAGAGAGTCCCACGATTCGGAAGAACATATCGCTACCATCTTCAGGGTCGAATAGTAAGGCAAGCAAGAAAACAGTAGGAACAGTCGGGAAGGTAGGCATGGTTTTATCTTCAACTCTGAAGATGGATGCGGTATGTTCCTCCGAAACGTCGGGATTTATCCGCATTACATGGCGTACTCTTCGTACTCACTGCTGTGAGAACCTCGGACCCAGTACAGAAGCTAGTAGCCTGCTGTTGGCAACGGAACTGTCTGCGTCACTCAGCGTACTTCGCCGTTCCCACAGTAGACAGGCAACTGAGCAGGTTAATGTAGCGGTATTTTCGGAGGTGCTTGGTTTGTATCTCGGCTGGGACACCGGATTCTCTGATGAGGATTTTGTGACAAATGAAGAAGTTGTATCAAGAGCCTACGGTCACTCGGTTGTATTAGGGAGGTTCCCTGTTCGAATCTCTGACTAGACTGGCCACGACCACTTCCTTGTGCATCCTTTAAAATGTATTATTCATTAATCACCCTATCATTCAAATAGATTTAGTCTCTCTCACTGACAAAACAAACAAAAGACCTCTGTGGTTCCAGTCTGCAAGCGAACTATACCGACCGAGCGACCGCCGCTTGTCGGCGAAGTTAGTGCCAACTTTAGCGGATAGAGGATGTCGCGTGTTCAGCGCAACGGATTCCCACGGCCGTTAATCTCGGTTTTCTAGACCGGAGCCCCTAATTCCTTGAAATAGCTCCTCAATTATCCTCACGAGGCTAAGTGTCTCTCTCACTGACAACGTCATTAAATAAACCACAAGTACAGGTAAGATTTTATGTTATAAAGGCCTTGACTATAAAAATGACATTCTTCTGGGATGTGATCCCCTGTAGTTTGGTAGATACCAATGGAACTTCTGTTCCTTAAATGGAGCAAAAAGGTCCCTCCGAAGTTTTTGTACGTATCTACCAAGCTACACGGCGTCATATCTCAGAAGACAACAGTTTTCGAAAGATGTTAGATCTGTCATCTCAGAAGATAGCTGCACGCCACTGCATCAGCAGCCTGTCTCTTGTTTTTATGCTCACAGTCGCCAACAAACTTCTTGGCTTTCTTTGCCCAGCGACGGAATCTGGGCACACAGACTTTATGTAACATGACGCAATTGTTTCGATGGAATAGGCCACTCCTTTTTATTGGCGTCACAATTTATTGATTCCACTACCGTTAATGTATCCGGATAGCAATCAGACGGTACAGGGTTCTTATCCAGCCGACAGCAGACTTGTTTTCTTGTACCGAGCTCTCGATCGATGTCAACTTTAGTAATGACATCCCGTCTCGGTTCAGTGTAAAGAGGCCATGACACAGCTCAGGAGGTTAGTCGCCGGCTTTCCACCGCGGCGGCCCGGATTCGAGCCCAGGTCAGGTCATCTTAGATTTGTGGAGGATAAAGTGGCACTACGACAATCTTTCTCCTAGCACTTAGGTTTCCCCTGCCAATTTCCATTCCACCGACTGCTCCACACTCATCATCATTTGTATCTGTGTGTTCCGTATAATTCTCACAGTAACCAGCGACTCTTTCCCTAAACAGCATTAACCGGTTGCATCTGTGTGTTCCGTATGGTTCTCAATAAACAGCGACTGTTTCCCTAAACAGCATTAACCGGTTGGTCTCTGTAGCGGAGACGTAATGTGTTTCCTGTGAGGTACGGACTGAATTCTTATATATACTGCATTCTGCCCACAGAGTGTATCTGTGTGTTCCGTATGGTTCTCACAATAAACAGCGGCTGTTACCCTAAACAGCATTACCCGGTCGGACTTTGTAGCGGAGACGTAATGTGTTTCCTGTGAGGTACGGACTGAATTCTTATATATACTGCATTCTGCCCACAGAGTGTATCTGTGTGTTCCGTATGGTTCTCACAATAAACAGCGGCTGTTACCCTAAACAGCATTACCCGGTCGGGCATTACAATAGAGACGCAGTTATGGAGAATATAAGATGCTCAAACTTGGCGGTGATAAAGCTAACGACCGTTCAACTGACTAAGCTGCTGTTATGGCATAAGACACGTAAGCTAGGCATGATCTCCTCTGCAAAGTTTGGAATGACAGAGGACTTGTATATAGTGCACAAGGAAGAATTTTCAGTAACGTGCTATATATGCGATACTTAACTATTGACGAAAGGCCAAGCATGTTGATAAGAGACAAGTCCATCCTCTCGTCAGAGAGGAAGTTACACAAAGGTTACGACCGCAGGGATACATTTGCAAAAATAAAATCTAGTCGTGATCCTCAAGGGGCTTGGGACCAAAACGAACTGATTGGCGGTAAACCGCCAGTCGTAAAATAACTCTGACTGATTAATACCTTAAATCAGCGAAAATCGTCTGATACTCTTCCAAAACAAACGCGAAAAAATCTGTTGAGATTTCAAAATAAGAACACAACAGATTGGGAATAAGTTTCGTGTGTTTAAGCCCTAGACTACTGACTAAAAGCCATTTTGCATACGGAAGGTCCTGCGGCCGACCAAGTAGAGCAGGGATTACCGTGGTGTTCCTCAGTCCTAGCGTAAATATTAAGTGGGTAGGTCGTTACCAGCCTTTTAGAGCAACCTGTTACTTTCACCTTCAACGCAGAAGAATCGTGATGGTGGATGGAACAGATTCCCCGAAAAGTTCCTATGGATCTACCAAACTATACGGTATCATATCCCCTGAAGACTTTTGGAATATCTTGTCCTTGGGAACCCAGCGCTGTTTCGCCGATCGGTGGACCGGAAACGTACGGATATGCCTAAGCCCCACACTATAGGAAACGTTGAGGTAAATCACGAATTATTAACTTCTGAATTATATGGAGGTGAGAAGTTAGCTACCTGCTCCGGCCCCTTTACCCCGCACAAACTTCCTGGCCAAAGATGAACCCCAACAAGCTCTGTGTCTGTTGCTCCTGGCACTGAGAGATACATAGCCACAAGCACACGTCGGGAAAATTGCTGCATCTTCGGGCGCGTATATAATCGTATATAAACGATTTGAGATTTCGATCTTCTGTGGTGTGACTAAATCACACGACGTCATATGTCAGAATACTAAATCTTAATATTCCATATGTTTGTTTGCTTTTCGATCCTGAAGATGGAGTTCGTAAGTTCCTCCGAAACGTCGTTGCTCTCCCCCCCTCTTCTATTGATGCATTTGCTAAAACAGGCGGGGGCGCGCCGTGTCTCAGCCCAGCTCATGACGCTTGAGGTCGCATGCCCCACGGGGACCGGCTCCAGATCTCTCAAAATGGCTGATATTGCAGGAGAAGTAGATTCTACCGACTTCCAGAAGACTCAATTTTAATTTTCTTGTGAGTGATAACTTTTGTTCTTCCAGGTTTGACACGGTTCTGGAAGGATATCGACGTTTCGGTGCACCATATTGCTTCCATCTTGAGGGGTGACGTGTGTTGGGTAGGCTACATATGGTATTTACGAAGATGGTGGTCATGGGAACAAAGGTGAAGCCCCTGGGAAGAAATTAACAAAAAACTGCCCTTTCGGGCTGGTTTATCATCGGGGGGGGGGAAGAAACAGATAGAGAAATCAGACCTTTCCAGGGGTCAGTTCTCACTGTCGTGAGGATAGTGGAATTGTGTGAAAAATGTCCCCATCAACCCACAAAACTGTACGGTGTGACAACCCAGAAGACCACACTCTTAATAATGACGGCCGTCAGACCTTCGAAAGTTACTGTAAAATTAACAAGTTTATGACGTTTGTCGTACCGCGTGTCTGACGGTATTGACGGGGCGGTACCCCCCAGATGGAAACTGGAACATATTCTTTTGGTTAAACTTATCCCTGTAACATACCGTGCAGGCCCATAGAGTTGTTAGACGTCGAGGCTCCTACTTTTTCTCTAGACAATCGGCTCACAGATGGTGCAGAATGTTATGCAGTCTTTGCTGTCTTGCTTAAACAGACTAGTGTTCCATTTTTATGGTTCTTTTGTGAATAGATACTCACTTATTCATGGAGCTGAGCCCTTCTTGAGAAGCCACCAATTGTGCAGCTACTCAAGAACTTCCCAGCATTTTATGGAACCCGAAGGTACATTACCGCATTCACAAGAGCCCCCCACTGGTCCCTCTCTTAAGCCAGATTGATCAAGATCACATCATCCCATTCTATCTAAGATACATTTTAATATTGTCCAACCACCTACGTCTTGGCCTTCCTTGTGTTTTTTTCCTTACTGCTCTCCCACCAATATCCTATATACATTTCTCTTCTCCAACATTCTTGCTACATGCTCTATCCATCTCATCGTCCTTGACTTGATCATACTAATTATGCTTGGAGAGGAGTACAAGTTACGAAGTTCCTCATTATGTAATTTTCTCCAACCTCCTGTCACTTCACCTCTCTTCGGTCCAAATATTCCCCTCAGCAGCAGCAGTATAGATATTGTGTATTTTATACTAATAACAACTGACTTACCTTTTCATATACTGACTGTTTTATTGACCGAATTTCATGTTGACCTGGCAACGTAAAGGAGAATTTCCTGTGACTTAATTTCGTCAGCCTGAAATTGGAAGCAAGGCGCTGGTGACAAGATTAGGGCTCGGTTGACGACACTATGTCCAGACTGCAGCATAGCTTAGGTTGGTGAATGATGAACTGGGAAGGATTTTGGAAGAAGCGATCGTGAACTTTTCGGGGCAGTGTCCCGTCATTTGCCTGGAGGAACTGAGGGGGACTATCAGACACTTTTTGTTCATTGCTAGTGGGGTGGGACTAAGTCCCTTGTACTGCGGCCACTTCTGGCCTATTGTACCAGCCCCAGATGATAGGTGAGGGTGATTGTGCAGCAATTGGTGGAATGAAGATTGGCAGGGGAAACCGAAGTACTCGGAGAAAACCTTCCCCAGCGCCACTTTGTCCACCACAAATACCACTTGACCAGACCCGGGATCGAACCCGAGCAGCCTCGGTGGGAAGCCAGCGACTAACCGCTTAAGCTATGGCGCGGCCTATCAGACACCTTACTCACTAAAATCTGTGCCCCAGTCGGGATTCGAATTCAGCATCTCCCACACGAGCTACTCGGTTTCAGTGTTTCATATGCAGACAAGTGGAGCGCACTTCTCAGTGAGCCCTGTCCGTCTGTTTCAGGTGGAGATGATGTCCAGCAACTCTGTGACGCAGGCGAAGAGGAGTTCCTGGAGATCATGGCGCTGGTCGGCATGGCGTCCAAACCGCTCCACGTGCGTCGCCTGCAGAAAGCGCTCCAGGAGTGGGTAAGCAATCCGGGTGAGTCGATTGAAACCCTCCGTCATCCATTGCCAGGTTATTCGAATACGTGTTTTCACCTAGAGATTTGGGAGACCGCTGAACACCTCACGACAATCCTTACCTCCGCTGATACTCAAACGAGATACTCTTGGAGCCAAGCCTAGACTTCACCGCTGAGACATCCTACTTAGTCTCAGTTTCAGAACCGGTTCTTAACCTTTCCAAATCTGAAACTCATGCAAATGTTTAAAAATTCACAGAAAACACATCACGTTTCGAATATAAAATCAACCGGTTAATACTGTTTAGGGAAACAGTCGGTGTTTATACGGAACACACAGATATAACCGGTCAATGCTGTTTAGGGAAACAGTCTCTGTTTATTGGGAGTACCATACGGAACACACAGATACAACCGGTTAATGCTCTTTAGGGAAAGAGTCTCTGTTTATTGGGAGTACCATACGGAACACACAGATATAACCGGTTAATGCTCTTTAGGGAAAGAGTCTCTGTTTATTGGGAGTACCATACGGAACACACAGATACAACCGGTTATTGCTGTTTAGGGGAACAGTCGCTGTTTATTGTGAGACCCATACGGAACACACAGATACACTCTGTGGGCAGAATGCAGAGTTTTAGTATGTTAAAGCGAGTGTTTCACATAGTTATCACTGGTAGTCTAATGATAGAAGCGAGTGGTAACTATGCATGTCACTTATTGTAACGTTTCATAATTTGGATTCCGGCACATAAAGAATGTCTGTGGCGTTCATTTTATTCTCGGCAGATAAAGCCATTTTGTCTCAGATATCAAAAATCCAATAATATTAATTACTGAAATATCCATGAGATTAGGACGAAGTCTCTAGGGGACTGTTTGGAACCCGATATGAAAGAAGTTTAATATTTATGAAATTCTGTAGTGAAGACTGGCATGTGATGCCGTGTAGTTTAGTAGACTTATGCTAACTCTTGGGAAGAACTTGTGAGGACGGAACTTCTGATGATGGAGTCGGAAAGTTTACACAATGCGCCTTTAAATTTCTACGAAACAACACGTCGTCACATCCCAGAAAACTGCTAAATTTCATTTTATTCTCGGCAGATAAAGCCATTTTGTCTCAGATATCAAAAATCCAATAATATTAATTACTGAAATATCAATGAGATTAGGACGAAGTCTCTAGGGGACTGTTTGGAACCCGATATGAAAGAAGTTTAATATTTATGAAATTCTGTAGTGAAGACTGGCATGTGACGCCGTGTAGTTTAGTAGACTTATGCTAACTCTTGGGAAGAACTTGTGAGGACGGAACTTCTGATGATGGAGTCGGAAAGTTTACACAAGGCGCCTTTAAATTTCTACGAAACAACACGTCGTCACATCCCAGAAAACTGCTAAATTTCAAAGTAACTCACCCCCCCCCCTCCTTAAGTACCTCAGATCTTACAAACTTTGCAGTGTTTCAGTTTCAGCACTTTGCAGCGTCTAGCTTGAACTGAAATGTGCTAAGTAATGCACTAAGCAGTTTTAAATTGATTTGTGTTGTAAACAACCTTCTCGTGATCTTCATTTCTTACACAAACCAAGATTTGCGTCACTAATCCAGTCACACACACATGGCGCGTTATCATCTGGTCGTTACCTCATCATCAGATAGTTACTGGAGTCCATTTTCATCTCATGACAGCGACTAAAATCACCATGTTGGGACGTGACCGTACCTTCAGAGACACTTCAGATCAGAGTCTTTCAACCTTCTTAAACTCACGGCACACCGGATAAGGCGATAAAAATTATCAAGGCAAACCACCAATTTTTAAGGAGAAATTTTAACATTTAAAACGTAGTAATAAAATTGATGTAAAAAGTTCAATAGCTAAAATTCTAATAGCTGTGTAATTTTTAGAAATAATACGCTGTTTAGGGAAACAGTTGCTGTTTATTGTGAAACCATACAGAACGCAGATAAACTCTGTGGGCAGAATGCAGTATATATAAGAATTCAGTTCGTACCTCACATGAAACATATTACGTCACCTCTACAAAGCCAAACCGGTTAATGCTGTTTAGGGAAACAGTCGCTGTTTTTTTTTTTGTGAGAACCATACGGAACACACGAATGCGCTGTGTAAGGGACTGAATGTAAAGGGGGGAGGGTACATTGGGCGCCGAAGATTTGTGCCCGGGTGGGGTCCGCTTGGGACCGGCACCGAGTGCTTCAAAAGCTGGGCCGTCTATGGTTTCGGCCATAGACAAAGGCTTAACAGCATTATCTGCATAAATGACCAGGAACATTTCTTTTTAACCGCTACACTAACCCTTTTCCCAAATTTCTCTCATATTTTGTTTGAACTAACAGAACATTGAGGTTGAGTTGTTGGCGCTCGATTCCCGTATTCTGGAGGTACCGAGTTCGAATTTCTGTGTAGTGGCGAGTCAGCACTAATGAGCTTCATTCTTATTATCGCCACTTACATGCGTGGGGATTTTGCTTTAAAATAGACATCGGCCGCTTCCTCTCAGATCCAGATTCATCAATTGCACCCATACTCCAACTTGACCTTAAATAAAATAGTCACGCAATTGATGAAACGTCATTAAATAAACTAAGACAGATCTGAAGTTCCCACGGCAGTGAGTGTCAAGGTTAGGTCTTCGGGATTTGACGCCGTGTACTCTTATTCGGGCGTATGAACGTTTTGGAGGATCCTGCTAGCTCCAGACTTCACGGCGTGGTAGGGAGGGAGAGAGGGAGGAAGTAGATATATTGTAATAATCATAGTCATGATTAGTCAGAACTTTCGTTTCTGAAATAGAACAGACTATGAAGTCGGCAAGTCTAGGGTTTTCCCACTGGCAAGCGGATGAACGAAAGGAGTAGGGTGGCATGGCGGTAACACTCTACACTTACATTCGGCAAGTGCTCGGCCGGGACATCGGTAATTTCGACTACTCTTTTCTGTAGTTTTTCCCCAGTCCCTCCAGAGAAATATGTGGCTAGTAGTACCTTGATTAGGATACGCCCGTTTCCTTCTGAATCCTTTTTAATTCATCCTTGTGCACGTATTGACAGCGACGTGGAGCAAGCAGCGCAGGAAAGGCTCTCACAGTGCGCCGTTACTTGGCGCGTACTCGACAAGAAATGCCGACTGTAAGCGAGAGGGGGAGGGGGTCGCGGGTTCAATTATCATTCTGTACGTAGCGAAATAGACATAAATTCTATTTGCAATGTTCATATTTTTTTCTCTTTAAATAGACTCAAGAATTTTTCCACAATCTGCAGCAATGAGAGAAAGAAATGTCCCATTATGTCCGGTTCGGATTCCCGTGGCTTCGTGACTTACCACTGAAGACAGACGGACAGTACTCTTGCTTCCAAACAAAACAGGCCTATGTCAAGTTCGGAGGACCATAAACGCCACAAAACAACTTCCGCCGCAAGTACCTGGACAGGCCGGAAACTTGTTCTGTACGGGAAAATTAAAAAAAAAATGTTATTATTAAGTGAAATTTACGGTTCGGAAGGCGGTGACTGCCTCCTTAGATATTCTGCCGTGTAGTCTGGTACATAAGTACCAATTTATTGGAGGAACCTGCTGCTTCCAGCTTTACCTTCTATCAAGGTGCGAGCAGGAATATGCTCTGAAGAGTTGGTAAGTGCCTACACAGCGTCACATCCTAACCAACTGACTGACTAACGTCTATCTGAAACATCTCTGAGGGTAAGGCGTGTCGACATCACCGGTGTGACGTTCTGGCTTCGCTCCTCCGCTGAGAACAGAATGCAGTGACTGTGTACTGCTCTTCTTCAGTATCGTGTGAGATGTATTATGCACACTAACTAACTAACTAACTAACTAACTAAAGGCCGCGCCATAGCTCAAGCGGTTAGTCGCTGTCTTCCAACCGCAGCGGCCCGGGTTCGATCCCGGGTCTGTTCAAGCGGGATTTGTGGTGGACAAATTGGCGCTGGGGCGGGTTTTCTCCGAGTACTTCGGTTTTCCCTGCCAGTCTTCATTCCACCAAATTCTCCATCATCATAATCACCCGGGGCAGGCTACAATAGGCCAATCAGTGGCCGCCGTGCAGAGTGGACCCAGTTGGACTCCCCCCCCCCCCCCACTAAGCGAATTTAAAAGAAAACGGTCCACACTTAGGCCGACGCTCAGTCCGAATTTCGGCCCGGTCAGTACAGAACTGTTTTTGGTTCAATGCATAATGTTTATTCTGTGAGTATTGATACTATTTTTATGTGGATACATAAAGTGCAGTGGGGGCACACGGTAGCGTAGTTGGTTGAGGCACTATGCTACAAGCCGGAAGTTCGAGTGTTCGAGTCCCGATGAGGTGGACTTTATTTAATTTACCTAATCCTTCCAGCCGCACTATGGCCCTGAGTTTGACTCAGCCTCTAACAGAAATGAGTACCAGGAATCTTCCTGGGGGTAAAGGGCAGCCGGCGCGTGAAACTGACAACCTCACCGCCATCTGTGTGCTTTTTGTCTCGAAAATGTGGGAGCCTCGACGTCTCACAACCCTATGGGCCTCCACGGCCTGTTACAGGGATAGCTTTACTTTTACATAAAGTGTAGCACTTGTATAATGTATGCACTAGACGGTTTGCGGTTGAATATTTGTGGAGGTTATTCGTGGCAAATGGCTTTAATTGTCGGCCTTGGAGTATCATTCGATAACATTTAAGATCGGAAAGAAATACGGGAGAAAGCAGGGCAAGTTAATAGCACGAAAGCTTGCATAACAGAGGAGGGGACTTCCTGCTGAACCCTCGAAGGCTGTTACACTGCACGTCCTGCGTATTGCGTTTTTAAGTAACGAAATCTCAGATTATAACTACAAATTCACGAATCACAATTGAGATGACAAAATTTGTGCCAAGTAAATTGGTTGAGAAATCTGTTACAGATATCTTAATTCAAGAATGGCTGCTTTATGCAAAATATTTACAAAGTTTTGCCTTTTCTTTTTGACCATTTCGTTTTGGGGCTTG